AGGGAAAAGGGAAAAGGGAAAAGGGAAAAGGGAAAAGGGAAAAGCTGCTGACGGAAACAAGTGTGTTCTAGAAGGTCTCAAAGCTCTGTTGGAATATTAAAACCAGTCTGTACTCACAGAACCTTTACTTGAAACAAACACTTCATTTTAAGCTCGTTTTCCAGGGATGAGGCAGAAAAGAGGTTGGAGGAGGCTCGGAGCAGCGTGGGATGGTGCCAGGTGTCCGTGCCCACGGCAGGGGTGGGATGAGCTGGGATTTAAGGTCCTTTCCAAGCCAACCTTTCCAGGACTGTGGGAGGTGGAGGTGAGTACCTGACCTTTCCCTGCAGACACAGCAGCCCTGCCTGCGAGGTCACAGTCCCAGCAGCACGAGGCTCTGCACCTGCCGGCCAGGCTGAGCAGGGCACACCTGAGCAGAGCACGGGGCGCTCCTGGCACAGCCAGGGACAGCCTGGCACACACTCCATGGGAATTCAGCACTGGCACGAGCCGAGCAGAGGAATCCAGAGGAACTCGTGCAGTGCCCGGATTAAAACCTCGGCTCTGGCCCCCAGCCCACTCCCAGCTGCTGTGCTGAGCCGGGCTCCAGGGCAGAGCATTTCCAGCAGCAGCAGCTCCTTCCTGGCGGGCCAGGGGCTCTGCCAGCCCTCCCGAGGAGCTGCTGGCAGTCTGCAGTGTCAGGGGCTCTGCCCTCCATTCTTTTCCCAATCACAACACAACAAAGGCGTTTGGGTTTGTGAAATGTCAGCGTGCCTGCCCGGAGCCTGCTGCAGACAAGGTAATTATCCCTCCCTGTCACCCCTGCTCCTGCAGCTCGCTGCAAATCAGCTGCTTGTACCCAGCCTGTCAAGCTGCGTCCCAGGAATGGCCCTGCACGCCAGCTGCTGAGGGGACACTGGGGACACCGGGGACACCGGGGACACCTGGGGACACCTGGGGACATTGGGGACACCTGGGGACACTGGGGACACTGGGGACACTGGGAACACTGGGGACACTGGGGACACTGGGGACACTGGGGACACTGGGGACATGGGGACATTGGGGACACTAAGGACACTGGGGACACTGGGGACATTGGGGACACTGGGGACATGGGGACATTGGGGACACATGGGGACACTTGGGGACATGGGGACACTGGGGACATTGGGGAAACTGGGGACATTGGGGACATTGGGAACACTGGGAATACTGGGGACACTGGGGACACTGGGGACACTGGGGACACTAAGGACACGGGGGACACTGGGGACACTGGGGACACTGGGGACATTGGGGACACCGGGGACACTGAGGACACCTGGGGACAGGGAGGGGTCACTTGGTCACCTTGCTCCTCCCCAGTCCCTGATGAGCTCTGGCACCTGATAGCAACCATAAGTTCATCAGGCTGCTGGAAAACCCCCATTTGAAAGGGAGGAAGAGCTTATCTTTCATTTTCTACGCTCGGTTTTGCGGCGTGTTGATGTATTTATAGTTTTAATACCCACCCATAAATGCCCCCTAAGCAGGGAATATTGCACCTCTCGATTACTGTTATTGCTTTATTGCTCCTGGGAACCATAAATTAACAGCTTCCCCCAGCAATGCTCACAGGGTACGGAATTACATTACAATGTACATACACGGGAGCCTATTAAGGCACTGCCATTCCATAAAAGTCTTTATAGTTTTTAAGTGTACACCTCTAAGTGTTTCAATTAAAGAACTACATGCTCGCCTGGTAATTGCCCTCCCATTTGTGATAGAGCTCCGTAGCAGAATGAGGAAGAAGCACGACTAAAAGGTGGAAAATTGGAATATAAAACACCGAATATGAAGCTGCCGTAAAAAGAAAACCACAGGTTTAAATTATGCTTATTAGAGTCGTTGGCAGGGTGGAACTCTCGCTGCCAGGAATGGGTTTGTTTCTCGCAGAGAAAGCCCGTCCCAGCCGAGCCGAGGCTGGCGGGGGTCGGGCACCGGCAGAAAGGGAATTTGCTCCCGGGGTCCCCGGGGTGCCCCGGGCGGCCCCGGCCCGGGCTGCGGCACGCAGAGCTGTCGGAAGGATGACATCTTGTGGCAGCACGGCTCCGAGGAGCAGGGACTAATTAAACCCGCAAATGAAGCTGCAGCAGCATCCTGCATCCTGCGGGAGCCGGGGATTCCTGCATCCCTCCGAGCTGGGGGGATGCTCAGCCAGCTCTGCTTCGGACGCGCTGATTCCACCGCGCAGGGAAGGGAATCCTCAGCCAGCTCTGCTTCGGACGCGCTGATTCCACCGCCCAGGGAAGGGAATCCTCAGCCAGCTCTGCTTCGGACGCGCTGATTCCACCGCCCAGGGAAGGGAATCCTCAGCCAGCTCTGCTTCGGACGCGCTGATTCCACCACCCAGGGAAGGGAATCCTCCGGGTGCTTTGGAATCGCCTCCCCTGGCACCGAGACCCTGCAAAGCCAGAGGCTCAGCTGAGCTCTGCTGCATTTTTGGGGGGTCACAGCCTCCAAAGTGAGCCTGGAAATGCTGGAGCTGACCCTTGGGTTTCGTTTCAGCCAGAACTGGGCGTTTGTGGCTTTTTAACCCCACTCTGTAGGCCCAGTGTTGCTAAGGAGTGCACGAAACTGAACTGGGAAGGTTCTGGAGAGCTAACAAGGAAATTCTTCACAGAACCACACTTGAAAATGGTCTCAGCTCCTCGACAAACCTCCTTTTACTGCTAAGTTTGGAAAAAAATTGTCTTGTTTTGATATAAGTATGGCACCAGAACCAAAATTTGACTTTTTGACCCTATGGAGATTCCCTGGCACCAGTGGGAGTTCCTGCAGCATTCCCATGTGTAATTCCCCAAGAATCAGAGCGGGATGGAAGGGAGAAGTGGGCACCCCCTGATAAGCAGCAGACATTAATTAGTGCTCCATTGCAATGGAATTCAGCTGGGATAATGTATGGAGGCCACAGGAACAGTAAAGGGAAATTCATCATGGTTAATGTTATTACACTGAGTGTCAGAGGAAGCAGCGATGATTTGCCACTTACTGTGGGATGGAGTGTGATCTAAAAGCAATTGTGGCTGGATTGCCTGGAACATCCACGTGCAGGGGAGCTGGCAGGAAAAGCAGGATTCACTCCTCTGCCACGGCTGCTTCCTGGGACCCTGAACTCGCAAGTCCAGCTTGGGACGACGCCTGTGTTTGCCAAGGCGTGAGCAAGACAGATTTCAATCAAATACTCTGTATTTATCTATTTATCCTCCCCTTTTAAGGCTGTAACACTTGGGTGTGTTTAGATTCTACAGGGCAGGTTCTGGCATCCTTTTGGGATGACCCTGGAAAAGCAAATCAGCTCTTGGGGGCTTTTTCTCCTCCCCATCAGACATTTGTGCCCCATCCTCCTTCCTGGCAATCCTCTTCACCCACAGATGTTGAAACCTTTTCCAGGGAGGTTCAGGTGCCCATTTAGTCAGATTTCCCTGCAATTGGGAGCTCTGCTTGGCTTTGGCTCTCAGTGCTGGCACCCTGGGAGCAGCCTGTGGGCCCTGAGAGGCAGAGCAGGAATGATGCCCCAAAAGAATCGTTTATCCTCGAGAATAAAAGCTTTTCCCTTCAGAAATAACAACTCTGCCAGATCCTTCCTGATATTTCTTCAACAGAAAAAATGCCTTTTCCAGAGTTTAGTATTTATCTGGATGGTTTAAAGCTTTCCAGAGCAAAAGCCATCCACCAACGTTGTGTCTGCAGGATGCCCTGCACAGGGAGATGCTTTTGCAGGGAATTGTGCAGGATTTCTCCTGTCCTTCCCCACTTAGTGCTGGGTTTCACTGAGGACTCCTCGGGCACAGAAGTCAACAGGTTGTTGTAAAATCTCCCTCCTTTCCCCAGCTGTGTGACAGCAGAACTTCCAGGAGCCTGCTGTAACATTGTCCTGCAGCAGTGGAAGCCATCATCACACGTCCCCTTTTGGAATAAATAAAAAAAAAATCTACAGGGATTTATTTTCCTTTAAATATCTATAAATCAGCATAAATTCTAATTCTTTAAAGGAAATAGTGTCTAACATTTGCAGCTGATTCCATTCGAGTCCCACGCAGCTGCTCCAGGGCTGCTTTGTCATTGAAATAAAAACTCAGAGGTTTCCATTAGCTTTAGGTCTATGAAAAGAAATACACTTATGTATCTTTTAGAAGATTCTAAATAGTTATTATTTATTTATGCAGCCCTGGAAGCTTGCTAGGCATTTCACAGGCACGCAAGGAGAGCTCAGACTAAACCACAAACAAATAAATCCAGCAGAGAAGAGAAGGAGAAACAAAATTTCTGCTCTCAGTGTTGTCAGTCAGTGACACAGTGCCCTGCCTCTGCCACTTCTCCCCGAGTTTTGTCTTATTTGCAGCCGCTTCATCTTTTTCAGACCAAAGCAGGGCCACCCCAGGGAGGAAAGGGATTTCTGCAGGAAGAGCAAAGGTGAAGTTCAGGGGAGGTCAGCAATCAGAAAATCAGGCTGCTGGGGCTTGGGAGGACTGAAAGCCCATCCAGTGCCCGGGCAGGGCCCCTCCACTGTCCCAGGTTCCTCCACTGTCCCAGGTTCCTCCACTGTCCCAGGTTCCTCCACTGTCCCAGGTTCCTCCACTGTCCCAGGTTCCTCCAGCCCCCGGGACCTGAGCTCGGTGCTCCAGCCCCTCCTTGTCCCCGTGCCCAGGACACTCCACCTCTGCCACGGTGCGAATGAAGAATCCTTATTTTTCGTTGTTTTTCACTCCCTTCCCCATTTAACAGCTCCAGGTCTCTTCCCAGCTATCATGCAAAACAAAACTCTGGACAAAACTCTCTCCTTTTCCTTTGAAGGAGCTAACGAGAGCCTGGGTGACATTAATGGATAATTAAAGGCAGCTCTGATGAGCCCAGTAGTTGCAATTTCTCTTTTCTACAGAAGAAGCCTTTTTGATCCAGGTCATCTTTGGTCACCAGCTTTACAGCTGTAACAATTTCTCCAGGAGCACTGTCAGAGGTTGTAAACTTTAATGACCTTTTACTTTCAGGGCCTTGTTCTTCCCTAGCTGTAATTAAGCAGGGCTGTGTGTATCTATACATTTAAAGGATTAAAAGGATTCATATTACAATAAAAATCATCTCCGTGCTCACCAGTACAAACTTCAGCAGCCCAGACTCAGCTGTGGCCAACAATCCAAAAGGAGTCATTACTGTAACTAAATTAGACCGTTTGTTTTCTTTCCCTCAAATCGAATTGTGGAGGAGCTGCTTTATTGCAAAACAGACATTAAAATTCCAGCTAGACCTCCGAGAGAAAGTAATTTCTATTTTATCAGCACTGTAAAGCTGTCTTTATGTTCTGAAGCAGGAAATATTGCAGGGATATTTATAGCTCCAGCACCAAAGCCAGTTTGAATAGAAATGTTACTGCGGTCGGCAGAGCTGTCACATTGCTCAGTGGAGCAGGGAATTTTAGTGAATTTGTGAATTACCCTTTCAGTCTTGACAAGTCTTTCAGTGAGCCTGGTGTGTGTCTGGAGCTGCTTTGCGCTCTCGGGATAATGATTAAAGACTGGGGAGATGTGCTGCTGCCTCAGGGATCAGCTGCCCCCGTCTCCGGGGAACCCCGGGCTCCCGAACCTTGCTGTGCCCCAGCAGCTCAGCCCGGGCTGCCCTGCTCCTCCTCGGCAGCTGCATCCTCCCCGCAGGTCCTGCATTGCTCCAGAATGCAGATTCCACCCTGCTGGCCCATTTCTCCAGAGGATTGACAACTCCTGTCCTTCTCTGCTCTGCTCCATCCATCTCGGTCCTCGGCCGTGGGCTCGGCTGGCATCGCCCAGCTGAACAATCCGGGGCCTGCAGGGAACAGCATCGTTTGTCTTGGCAAACTTCCTGCCTTGGTGGCACAGGCTGGGGAGTACCTCGGGTTTTCCACGTGCCCGTGACCCCCCTGGCCTTTGTAATTAGCCACGAGTGCAAATGGAGAGAATCTAAAGGAAATCCTCTCTGTCCTGACTGAAGCCATCCATCCTCACCCCGTGGGTCGCTGCAGAGAGCCACAGCAGAGGCCCTGAGAGAGCTGAGCCCAGCAAATGTTCCCATCGTGCTGGGGACAAAAGAACCTTTTCTGTGCTGCTGGGACACAGAGGCAGAGCCCAGAGCAGCTGGAATCCAGGCTGAGCCTCCCAGGCTGGATCCAGCAGAGGCAGGAAAGCCTGGCAGGTCTGGCAGTGCTGCTCCTGCCCGTCCTGCTCCACCAGGCTGGCAGAACCCAGCCAGACCCGCTCTGTGTCTCCAAACCTCTCTCCTGGCTTTGCTGGGAGGAGGAAAAACCCTCCAGCACTGCAGGGGAGCGAGTTTGGAGTGTCAGCAGTGAAACAGAGCCCCAAGTCCTCCCAGGGCAGCAGCTCCAGCAGGAAATGTTATCCTGATGGGTTTCCACTTTACTCTGGCCTTGATCTTTTGCCTGATTTGATTTTTGTTTCAGCTTGCCATTTCCCTCTTTTCACCTTTTATTCTCCTGCTTCTTTTTCATCATCACTCTCTTCCATAAATCTGTCTTCTCCCACCTCTCTTCCCTGTCAACCCAAAAATTTTCCAAATTCAACCCTAAAATGTTCCAAATCCCACTAAATCTTAGTCCCACCAAACTCACCTGTGAACCCCCCTCCCTGTCCTCTTCTCCCAAATATTTGGGTTGCTTTGGGCTTTCCTATACCATCCTGTTTCTGTTATCCTTTTATGCCACGTTCCATTGCTGATGAACACCCCAGACCGTACCCAGCTCTCCTGGAGCCTCTGAGCTCCCCCAGGGCCATTTTCAGGTGCTGACAAGGAGCAGGTTTGTACCTGGGGCTGAGGGGACAGCAGGCCCTGCATAGGTAATGCAATCATCCTGCTGGAATAAAAGCAGGAGCCTCCTGCTCCTGGCCTCCACTGGATGTGCTTCCCAAGGATCTGATAATCATCGGTTGTTTGAAAGGAATTTAGCTGCCTTTTCATTCTCTGCTTCTTTCTATCTCCACTCCATGAATTTTCTCTTGTGTTTAGCAGAGCCATTTATAAAATCCAGATTCCTATTGATTCCCAGGGAGAATGAACATTAATGTACTCCCGTGTCCATCCCTGCTCTCCCCCACATGGCAAGGAAGGATTTGTGTGATTTTCTGGGTGTGCTGCTGCCCTGCAATCGAGCCAACAATCAAGTCACACTAAATTAAACACAGAAATATTTCTTCTCCTGGCCTACTCCAGGACGCTGTGCCAGGCTGCCCCTGGGGAAGGCACATCCCTCCTTTAGGCCAGGAAAAGCCAAATTCATTTGACCAGGAGTGAATTGGCACCCAGAGAACACCTGAGCAGCTGGAGACCAGGCACCAGTGAGAGCTGTGAGCTGCTCCAGGGGTCTGGGGTGGGACCTTCCGTGCCCGAATACGTCCAGAATGTGCAGATACAGAATCCATGGGATCACAGGAGGGTGGGGACTGGGAGGGGCCTTAAAGCTCACCTAGTTCCAACCCCAAAAACCAAATGTGCACATATCCATGTGTGATAGGACCATAAACACACCTGGGAGTGCCCCAGGCCAGGCTGCAGCAACCTGGCACAGCCAAGTGTCCCTGCCTGTGGCAAGGCATGGGATGGGATGGGATGGGATGGGATGGGATGGGATGGGATGGGATGGGATGGGATGGGATGGGATGGGATGGGATTTAAGGTCATTCCAACCCAAACCCTCTTGGGATTCCCTGTGAACATCCAAACCCCTTCACCCCACTCCCCTGGTGCTCTTCATCCCTTGGGAACTCTTCCTCATGAACAGTGAGAAGGAGCTCTCTGCTCCCAGCAGGTCCCACCCAGCCCTGCCACAGGAAAAGCTCTGGAGAAGGAGGAGTGGAAGATGCCACAAAACCTCTCCAGATCGATGGCTGCAATTCTTCCTTGAATACTCCCCAGCCATTCTTCAGACCCTGCCTATTCCCACGAAAAGCTCTTCTGAGGCCAACCAGAGGCTCTCCAGCTTTAGGATTTACAGCTGATTACAGACAGAAGATTTAGGGTCGCACCCTTAGGAAATTCATCTGTAGATCGTGGTGAAGATAAAGAAAAATATAAAGGACATTAAGATTAAAGGAGATGATCTGCTGCTCATTACTGCTCCATCCATTTCCTGGGAAGATGTGACAACCTCGCTGGCCCCTGCACACAGGTCCTTGTCCCCTTGTCCAGGGTGACATTTACACAGTGCCAGGCACCAGCAGGGATGGAGCAGAGCGGAGCCTCATCCTCCAGCATTAATTCAGGTTCAGCCCCTGCACTGCCAGGGGAAGGGATAACAAAAGGGACAGGAGGGTTCACAAGCTCATAAATATGTGACGAGCAGCCTTGTCTTATTGCTGCTTTTAGCAGCCTGTGGAACTGCAATTGATGGTGTAATAGACTCCCAAATACACCGAGCCCATCAGCAGCTCTCGCGTTTTTATCAGACCTCATTTCTGTGCTGACAGAAAAAATTATCAGCGAAAGGCAAAAATGGGAGCTGTTTGCTACAGCATTAATTTTAAACATCTGGAATGGGGTATAATGTATGCAGATGTTTTGTAATGGAGACAGCTTACAAGGAAAATCAAATCTATCTCTCTGCTCGTTAATATAAATTGACATCTGCTGAGTCTGGAGGTGAGCTCTGTGTTCTCCTGCCATCCAGGCTGGAATAATGCTCCATCTGCTGTGCTGCTGCAGCTGAACATCCCCTGTCCCTTAAGTCATCCTTGATAGGAACAGACCTGGAAACGCTGCTCCAGATAATACCGGGCTTATGGATGGGCCTGATCGAAATATCTCCTGCAGCACATGCAAAACTGCTGAAAAATATCAGCTCAGGCTGCCCCAGCCAAGCTGGGAAATATCTCATCCCCACACAGCCTCCCTGCTCAGACGCTGAGCATAATTTGGGATTTATTTCCAGAGGAGTTATTTAGCAGCAGACAGTTGGAGGCTGTGTTCACAAGTCCAGGCATAAAATTCTGCTCCAACCTGTTAAACCATAATGGGCATGGTGGGCCCAAATGAGGGATTCACACACAGGGAGCCTTTTCCATGGATTTCTGACATTTCCACAGTGGTTTGTGGTGTTCAGCTGAAAATTGGGCCAGCAACAGCAGTGATAAGGAAATTTTAAATAATCAGATTTGATTAGATTCACTCAAAAAGAGGATTGAAGGAGCTGAATTTTTGTGTTTGAGGCAGGGACTTGCTGATTCAGCCAGCTCCAAGGTCAGGAATCCCTGGCACCTCCCCAGATCAGAACTGTCCAGAGCCCTCCAAACCCCGGAGAACTCCTATGGAAGGAGTTCACCATGGGATGCTCCTTCAGACCTTGGCTTCCCTCAAAAATCCCTCCCTAACTCAAAGAAACTTCTGCAAATGCATTCCAAGGACAATCCCCCCATGGCATCCGACCATGAGCTTTGGGAAAGGAACAGGAAAACCAGAGGGGAGCAGGGGAGCACAGCTCTCTGACAGCCCAAATTCCCTTTATTTTTGTTTTCTGGAAACCCCTCCAAAGCCTCACAAACCCTGGCCACAACCTAAAACATCACCGGGGGTTTTTCCCCTCGTTTGCTTTTAAAAATTGTTCTCTGATTGAATCCCCAGGGATGCTGAAGGCAGGAAAATGTGCTGAAATCCCTAAATGAGGCTGTGGGGAGAACAGGAGCAGCCCCACTCCCACGGGAGGAATTGGGTCACATGTCAAACATTTCCAAACACAAGGGGGGGAAAAAAGAAGCTCAAGGCAACTCCTAAAAAAAACCTTTGGGGACTCAATGAAAAATTGCCACCAAATGAAAGCATTACAAGAAAACAGATGGAGAGTAAGAGAGGAACATCAAAAAAAATCAAATGACATGTTT